GGGCGGGAGGGGCCCGGCCGGCGGAAGCGGGTGGAGGGAGAAGGCTCAATCCGAATTGCTGGGGCCCCACTCCGGATCGCCTTCAGCCGCCATCTTGTTTCTTCCCTCTCGCTCGGTGACTGGGGGAACCGACAGCGGCCGCAGGCCCGGAGCGCGGTCACGTGAGCTGCGCCGCCGACGAGCCTGGGACGGAGCGAGGCCGCGCGGCGGCCGCTAGGGGGAGCGCGGGAGCGCCGAGTTGGGGGCGGAGAGCCAGGGCGCCTCAGCTCGGCTGGGTGCGCCGCAGGCTCCGGCCGTGGTGGGGCCGGAGGGGCGCTCCCCTGGAGAAACGAAAGGCGTCCCGAGACGATAGCCTCTGCGGAGTCCCAGACGGAGTCTGAACTCGGCAGGGCCTCCTTCTGGCGTGTCCCTTCCCCGGCTCGGAGAGGAGTGCAGGGGAGCCCCAAAATTCATATCGCATCCCTGCCCCTTGGGGAAACCGATGCTGAGGGAGCCGGAGAGGGCTGCACGAGAGATAGCCCAGGTCGCGTAGCGCCAGCGACGCTGGATGAAATTAACTGGGGGCGGGAGGACGAGTCTCTAGAAACGTGAAACTCAAAGGAAGGCTTGCTTTTTTGGAGTCCTGAAATTGATCCCAATGAAACTCCCGGGTTGTGCCAGGAACCACGCCCTGGGCTGCCAGACCTGGAGGATAGTCGTTCAGAGGCTTGTTACTCCTGATAAACTTGAGAAAGCAACTACATTCCGGTCTCCTACACCTTCCCCAAGGATCCCTGATGGCCCAGTAGTTAGTTGAGTGTTAACTGAGGGGGTTGCCAGGTCCAACCTGCCATCTGCTCAGTGGGAGAAGACATCCTTCCGTAGATTTTGCAGTTTTACCCTGTCCTATGGGATCTGTATGAATCGGATTCACCTGAAACGGTTTGAGTCTTTCGTTGTTGTTGTTGTTGTTTTGGGTTTTTTTGTTTTAAACACTTTTCCTAGTGTCCCAAATAGGAACTTGACCACCTCGGCAAGAACTTTCCTGTTCCTCTTTTGCAGCATAAAGCGTGGCTACCCTCCTAAAACCTGCTTCAAAATATTTTTCTATTCTAGAGAAATCATTGTAATTAATGTATTTACCTGACAAGTCAGTAAGTCTTAGCACAGGGAAGGCATCGTGATGATGTTATTCCATGTACCCCAGACAAAATCAGACAGACTTAACCCAGGTTGGCTGAGGTCAGATCTGGGGATAAGAGAAGGTTTTATAAACATAAGTGAACATATATTAAAATATGTAACATCTAAGAAGTGATTTAAAGAAAAAATAGTTAACAGTATTCTGGCCACCAAATACTTTACAATGTAAGTGCAAAAACAACACATGTGAAATGAAAATTAAAGAAACGCAAGTGCTAATTGCTAAATCAATTTATTCACTACAATTAGGTTGAGCACCAAGGGTCACAAATGTCAATGACCAGGTAAGTTATCAAAGTAAATCAAGTGGGTGGCAGCCTGAGGCCTTTGGAATACTGAGCATCCAAGTTTTGTGTAAATAGAACAGCTACCAGAAGATAGGCCTAAAATGGCCAAGTCTTCAGCTTTTTCAAGACAAGGTGGAGACGTGGGTTACATTTAGGGACTCTTAATTTCTAAATGTTGGCAACTGAGACAATTAGGAAAAAAAAAAAATTCAGACCAATCAAAATAGATCAAAGCAGATACAGCCCCTGGAGATTTTAATTGCAAGCAACAGAAATCAACTCCAGCTCATTGAAGCAGAGTAGGAATCCGTGAGAGGGATGTGGGCACTTCCAGAATTGCTGGTTCCAAATGTAATGGAATCCAGGCTCTCCAGTCATTGTCATCTAGCCGGCTGGGTTGCCAAGTGAGTGTTCCATGGGCCATTCTACTGTTCCATAAGGCCAGCTGCCTCTGACTGTTGGAGATACACGATTAAAAAAGAAAAACCTCCCTGCCATCAAGTTGATTCCTACTCATAGCACCCGCCCCCTTGGGTTTCCGAGGCAGTATCTGTACAGAAGTAGATTGCCCAACCTTCCTTCCAAGAAGTAGCTGGTAGGTTTAAACACCAGCCTTCTGGTTAGCAGTCAAATGCCTTAGGCACTACACCACCAGAGCTCCTACCATAAGGCTGTTGTTGTTATGTGCTGTCAAGTTGGACCCTTACTCATAGCGACCCCTCCTTGGGTTTCCAAGGTGGTATCACTATAGAAGTAGATTGCCCAACCTTCCCTCCAAGGAGTGGCTGGTGGGTTTGAACCGCCAGCCTTTTGGTTAGCAGTCAAGTCCATCTAATAAACCAGCCCACTGCCATTAAGTTGATTCTGACTCACAGTGACCCTATAAGACAGAGCAGAACTGCCCCCATTGGGGTCTAAGGCTATAAATCTTTACGGAAGCTGACTACCACAACTTTCTCCAGGTGAGCAGCTTTGTTGTTGTTATGTGCCATCAAGTCGGACCCGAATCATAGCGACCCCTCCGTGGGTTTCCAAGGCAGTATCACTACGGAAGTAGATTGCCTCATCTTCCTTCCGAGGAGTGGCTGGTGGGTTTGAACCGCCAGCCTTCTGGTTAGCAGTCAAGTGCTTTAGTCACTATGCTACCAGAGCAGCTAGTGGGTTCAAATTGCTGACCTTTGGATTAGCAGCTGAGCACTTGAACTACTATGCCACCAGAACTCTATTTAGTGAATCTAATAAGATAGTCAATTGCTTTATTCTTTTCATTGTAAAGTTAATTCCATGCTTAGATGCCACGAAGTATGAGATAGTAAATAATGTATTCAGTAAGACCGTGTAAGGTGATGATGATGGTAAAAACATGGCTGGTAGGGAAAGCAAATCCAGCCTGGCTACTCAGCAGCAGCAGTTGGTCTCAGCCTCCATTGCCGCTTGCGCATGACTCCACTAAGCAGACACTCACTTAACTATGGGGGGAGCTTGACTTACATCTGCAGGGTGTTTTCTTGACCACTAACATTCAAGCTCCTTAGTGGGAACTCTGGTGGCATTGTGCCTAAGGCATTTGACTGCTAACCAGAAGGCTGGTGGTTCAAACCCACCAGCCACTCCTCAGAAGGAAGATTGAGCAATCTACTTCCATAGAGATACTGCCTCAGAAACCCAAGGAGGGGTCACTATGAGTCGGATCTGACTCAATGGCAGTGTGTTGCGTTGCATTGTTGACTACCACCAAGAAGAAGGAACCAGCAGCAGATGATGTCCTTTGGACCTGTGCTAAAAACCTCCTAGACCCAGAGGGAGATGGATGCCAATACATGGAGATCAAGGAACACCAGGCCCATAGACGCTGAAAAGAGACAAGACCCTTCCTCCAGAGCTGACACAGAGAGAAAGCCTTCCCCTAGGGCCAGTGCTCTGAATTCAGACTTCTAGCCTCCAAACCTGAGAGAATACATTTCTGGCTCTGAAAGCCATCCACTTGTATTTCTGTTATTGAAGCACTAGATAACTAAGCCAGATGTCCTCTTTGGGATGGGATTGCTGCTAAGTATTTTATGGCTAAATGGAACAGGTACTCAGCTCATGATAGGCAGCATAGGTTATAGGGTCATCTGGTACCCCAGTGTCAGGCTTTCAATTTTTGTCAGGGCCCAGGAGCAAAATAAGAGCAGTTTCCAAAAAGAATAGTTTTTAGCCAAAGAGAACAAGACTTTGCTCCAGAACCCTTAGTACAACCATAGCAGTGCTCCTTTGAGGGCTTGCCATGGACTCTCTGCAAGATCCCTGCATGTGGCTGTACACAGAGCATTGTTGGGTCCACTGAGTCATGAGAACCAATTAGCAGAGGTCCCTGCACCACAGCCTGGACCTTCCAAAGAACCTTCTCTTGCCTGGGGCTGTACTCAACATTAGCAAGCTTTGAGGTCACTTTGAAAATGGGTTAAAGCAGCACATAAATGTGGTATATATAATCTTCTGAATCCAAAGAGAACTTCTAAGCATCCAGGAGAGTCAAAAGAACCCACACCGTCCCACAGCCCCTGAATTCCTCATGTTGTTGTTGTTGTTTGCCGTTGAGTCAGCCCCGACTCATAGCAACCCCTCCTTGGGTTTCCGAGGCAGTATCACTACGGAAGTAGGATTGCCTGAATTCCTCATATCCACTATATATTCTATGGCTACAGCCATACCTTCCTCTGAAGACCTGCCTTCAAGTCCAAGTGACACCAGTGATTTGGTTGAGTTGATTTGCCACTGTTTGCTGTGGGCTGTCAGAGTCTCACACCTTCATACTAGATACATATTCTCTGACAGCAGCCTCAAAAAACTAGATGGACAGTCATAGACTACAGCCACTCCACTTCCTTGAGAGTCCATGGCCGATGACCATTCGGGGACCAATTTCTTTATCACTTGGGTTCTTGGTTGCAACTAAAAGACACCAACACCATCTGCTGTAAGCTCACCGAATCACTGAGAATGCCCA